AGGCTCTTACCTTCCTTCTCTGCCATGAACTTTCATAACAACAAGAAGAAAACAGAAAAACACGCCCGGGAAAAAGCTGCCTGGAGGGAGTTTCCTTTGCCTAACGTTCCGTATCAACACGCAAACACGCGTGACGCGGGAACCTGCCCGCAGTCTCCGGCGTGACACACGGAGCTGCGTTCAAGGTTAAGTGTCCGATTGGTTCTCCGTAACCCAGACCCCCCGACCCCCAACCCTGGCGCCGCGGTCCGACCTGAGGAGTTGCTGGTGCTGTTGGAGGTGAGTGCGGGTGAGGCAGCCGGGCTGCTGAGTGCGGGGTTGGTGGTGGCTGCGGCCAGGACCACCGTGGTGCCTGCAGGAGAGGTGCTGGAGGGGGCTGTCACTGTCGGGGTACCTGCAATCAGAACGGCCATCAGCTCTGTCCCCCGGCCCTGCTGCCCCCCCAGGGGCCAGGCAGCCAGCGTGGCCAGGATGTGTGAGGCCGAGCCACACCACCAGCCACCCATCCCTCCTGTGGGCCCGCAAGAGACGCCTTCTGTCGAGCGAGGAGGCCCCGCGAGGCTCGGGAGGAACGGGCATCAGGGCTGGCAACTCGGAATCTAGGTGCTTCATCACCAGAGCCCACATTTTAAAGGAACCTGGCCCGGCCGGTGTGGCTCAGTGGTTGAGCGTCGACCTGTGAACTAGGAGGTCAGGGTTCGATTCCCGGTCAGGGCACAGGCCCGGGTTGCGGGCTCCATCCCCAGTGTGGGGCATGCAGGAGGCGGCCAGTCCATGAGTCTCTCTCCTCATCAATGTTTCTCTCTCCCTCTCCCTTCCTCTCTGACATCAATAAAAATATATTTAAAATAAAATAAAAAGTAACAGGACAGGAGCCCAGGGAAGGCTGGCTATAGATGCCTGCCATTTGGGCCGCTTCACCGGGAAGCTGCAACTTTACACTCCCCAGGGGTCCAACAAAGGGGAGACAGACAGTAAAGTGGGGGTGGGGGGGCGGAGAGACAGGGGCGGGACTAAGGAAGGTGCTCACTGTCAGTCACACCTGAGAACGAAGGTCATTGGCCACTGCAAGCTGGTGAGCACTGGGGACCCTCACATCCCTGAACAGACGCTCGCTCTCTTACCCTCTCTTACCCTCTTGGTTCCTCTTGGCACGCGTGGCTCACGGCTCACGCCTGGCCTCCTGGCACCCACCCACGTGGCCCACAGCCATGTGAACCCCACGCACAATGGGCTCAGGGCCTACAACCAGCCGGATGCTGAACGGGACCGTCTCCCACGGGGAAAGGGCATCCGGCCACTGGCTTGGCCTCTCGCTGCCCCGAAACCCCAGCTACGCTTAACCAGGACTGGACTCGGGGTGTCATTCCACCCAAATAAAGATCACGCGGTCCCCGTGGGCACAGCTCAGATCTTGAGAATCCCACCTCCGGCGACACCCATCGAGGAGAGGGCGCCCCACTGCGTCCGAGGCCACCTCCCCCCGAGCAGGCGGTGGCGTCCCTGCACCCCGTCCTTCAACACGGGCGGCTTTCACGCCTCGGCACGTGCCCCCACGTGAGAACCCGCCCACCTGCTGTGCCAGTGCCGCCCGGGGCCTGGGTGCGTGAGAGCGGGGGGGCCGTGCTGGGTGCCTGCGGGTCTGTGGAGGTAGGTCCTACGGGGAGAAAGGGACACATTCCATCAATCAGCGTCCCCCACACAGGGGGGCGGACACAGGCCAGGAGTGGGCACAGCGCCCACGGCTCCCATTGCCAACCCGATTCTGAACTGACCCAGCCTGCTAACCCCGTGTCTGCCCGCATGGAATTATTTTAGTTAATTTTTTAAGAAAGATACAAATGACCCGGCCGGTGTGGCTCAGTGGTTGAGTGTCAACCTAGGAGCCAGGAGGTCAGGGTTGGATTCCCGGTCAGGGCACAGGCCCAGGTTGTGGGCTCCATTCCCAGTGTGGGGTGTGCAGGAGGCGGCCGATCGATGAGTCTCTCTCATCATGGATGTCTCTCTCTCTCTCCCTCTCCCTTCCTCTCTCTTTAAAATCAATTAATAAAATTTTTTTAAAAAGATAAGTTCCCCTCCTCCCATCTCAGGTGACATGGGTGCCAACCTGCCACGTCCGTCTGACTGCCATTTTTCTGGGGGCCCTGGGGTGTCCCTACGGGAGAAGCCCCGGTTGTAGGCGTTGGCGTGGCCGTCGGGGGGCGGCTGCTCTCCGGCTCGGAGGTGCTTGCGGGTGAGAGTTGCGTGGTGCGGGCGGGTGAGTGGGAAGTTGTGGGCTGAGCCTCGGTCGTCCCTGTCGAGTTCGGAACTGTGATACCGTGGGAAAGGGAGGAGGAGAAAATCAACAGGTGAGCCAGGCCCCGAGACCTCCTCGCACGGGAGTTCACGACTTCCCCGTCCCCGGGCTGTGTAAGCAACACAGAGCCACGCGCGTGCCCGTGCCCACGCCACCTTACGAGACGAGGCTGACGCGTCTCAGAGCTTGACTCACCTTCTTCATTCGTACCGCCCGCCGCACGATTGATCAGGGAATCAATGGCGCATTTTCAATAACGGTAACACTGAAGGGGAGCGATTTCCTTTTCCCCCAATGCAACCTGATGTTCCTCTCTGATTTGGCACATAGTAGGTGCGCATTTATTTTTCCCCAAGTGCAACCTGAGGTTTCTCCGATTTTGCACACAGTAGGTGCGCAGTTATTTTCCCCAAATGCAACCTGAGGTTCCTCTCTCATTTGGCACACAGTAGGTGCGCATTTATTTTTCCCCAAATGCAACCTGAGGTTCCTCTCTCATTTGGCACATAGTAGGTGCGCAGTTATTTTTCCCCACATGCAACCTGAGGTTTCTCTCTCACTCGGCACATAGTAGGTGCGCATTTATTTTCAGCCGCTACGTGACTTAAATGGAACTTGTCCGAGGCTCAGGATGCTTGTCAAGACAAAATTCAGGTGCGACCGTCGAGTTTGGAAATAATTAGTACAAAATGCCCGGAAAAGTCTCAAAGTGTTTCTCTGGACGGAATCTATGCCTTACGTATGATTTTTGTTTCACAATTCTCTCTCATTTTCTCAGGGAAGTCCTTACCCTGTTTTTTAACTGTAACGCTTTGTGAGCGGACTCGATTTCTTGGGCGTGCTGACCTTTTAAAAGAGATTGGAACCCTGCCCCGAGTTTAGGAAAGGCTGTACTTTACACGCGATAATACATACAAATAGCCATGTGGGCGGGAGGTTCCCCAACGACCTATCTTCTGAGCAGGTGCGTGAGGAACAGGGGAACGTTCAGTTCCTGAAAGGGCGCCCTCACACAGGGATCCCACCGGGTAGTGACGGAAAAACTCTACCAGCGTTAAGTATATCAACTTGGCAACAACAAAATAAAATCAGCAAAATGGAAAGATGCCGTCTTACCAGGGGTAGCAGTAGTAGTAGTAGTAAGTTGGTCAGGTCCTGCAAAAAAGAAAAAAAAATACATCCTCAGAAAGTCTCAGACTTCATACATACATATGTAAGTATTAGTTAGATGTATACATATATGTTTCTATATGGACATGTGTATATATATATATATTTCATACATATAAAACCTCCGTCAGTTAACATTCACAAAATGGCAATTTTCAGCCCCTTTAACCCCAATGAAACCCCATCCCTTCTCTTAACGTTCTCTTGACAAAGCCCAAGTGTGTCAAAACTACACTCTATGTTTTTGAATCCTCAGGTAAAAGAAGAAACATAATAGGACAAAGGGAACTATTGGGATTCATCGCAAGCCTGGGAAAGACTTGGGCGAGTTTCTCCCCAACGCATCATTTATTTGGGGCGGGGGCCGGGAGGGGTGATGATTAGTTATTGAGTCCCTACTGTGCGCTAGACAGTGTGCCACCTTCTAGGGATGTCATATGACCAGGATGGAGCGATTCCCTGCCCCACATCAGCTCAGTTCAGTGTGGAATTTAGACCAACACCAACCATAAAAACGCCGGAGAGTAATTTAGGCACCAGGCCAGGGCGAGGAGGTTGGATTTCTCCGGAGGGACACGCGCGGTTGGGCTCTGGGACACGGAGGAGAAATCTGATGGTAGGTTTGATGGCAGAGAAGAAGGGAATGTGCCCCGTTGCCCATCCCGGCTCCGTCGCTACCTCCACAGACCACTGCGCTCAGTGGGTCTGGCTGACCCCCACCACACCACGTAGGGAGCGCTTTGTAAGAAGGAATGGAATCCGCCACGTCTTTACGATGGAAATGAGAACAAGGGGCCATGAGGATGCTGTTTCTTTTTCAACATCAGAGCTGTGACTATGAGAGGAAATGGACCAGAAGGGCTCCCGCCCCGTAGACACGGCGTCAGCCCACACGCCCTCAGTGCCTGCCTCCGGGATGCGAAGCGAATGCCAACTGGTTACAACGCGATGCATCATTATAAGGAAACAGGTGCCGTGACGTTATCTTAATCCACATTTTGAAAAGGAGGGTGAGAGAACAGGCTAGTTCGCTATCTGCATATCTCTATCTTTACCCATCTCTACCTTTACCCACATACCCATATATCTCTACCTGTACCCATATATCTCTATCCATATCTCCAGTTCTATCTCCAGTTACATCTATATTTCTGGCTGTCATGCCTTCATAGTCAACATTTCTCCACGCCTTCAAATCCCCTTCCTGGGGAAAACAATATATAAAGATAAATCCCATTTTTCTTTTTTCTGTGTTTACGGCGACTTCCCCTAAGGGCTTCTCCGACGAATATGCATTTTCTTTCACATGCATTTATCTCAGACCCCGACTCTGAATTCCTCCACCGAGCTATATCACAGCACTAGAGTCTATCCTACTTTTTATTTCGCTTTCTTCACAGAGTAAATCTCTCTCTCTCTCTCTCTCTCTCTCTCTCTCTCTCTCTCTCTCACACACACACACACACACACACACACACACACACCCCACATTTCAGTTTAGGACTTAAGGGTCTTGTTCTCATAGTTGCAAAATCTTTATCACAGTCACATCTGTTATGATACTGAGTCACACCATACAGACATATGCAAATTACAGAGGCACTCAACATTGCAGAAGCACCCTAAAATTATTATTATTTTTTTTATAAATGCGAGCCACTCCCAATGTGAAGCCGGCACCTGGAGGTAAGATTCAGGGGCTCTGGTAACGTGACACAAAATAGCAACTTGACTTCAATAAGCCATAGCCACTGAACTACATAGTTTTTTAAAAATTTAGTTGTTGTTTTTTTTTTTTTAATATAAAAAGTAACTGCAGGTCTCCAACGAGGAGCGTGAAGACCAGGCGTGCGATAATAAAGAGACGGCATCGTATCTCTAGCAGTATGAGCCGTATTGAACGCTCTCTGACCTTCTATAATTGCACGGAAAGATTTAATAACACAGAGCGCGGGAATAAAAAGACCAGGCGTGCGATAATAAAGAGACGGCATCCGTATCTCTAACAGTATGAGCCGTATTGAACGCCCTCTGACCTTCTATAATCGCACCGAAAGATTTAATGACACAGAGCGCGGGAATAACCTTGGTGTTTTTATATATTATCCTTCGGCAACTCTTCTAGGGACTTTAAAAAAAGAAAAGAACATGTGGCCCTAACCGGTTTGGCTCAGTGGATAGAGCGTCGGCCTGCGGACTGAAGGGTCCCGGGTTCGATTCCTGTCAAGGTGGTGGCGGGCACATCTCCAGTAGGGGGCGTGCAGGAGGCAGCTGATCGATGTTTCTCTCTCATCGATGTTGCTAACTCTCTATCCCTCTCCCTTCCTCTCTGTGAAAAAATCAATAACATATATTTAAAATTAAAAAAAAGCTATCTAAAAAAAAATATGTGCTGGGTTTTCATTTAGACCAAGGAATACCTAAACTACTCCAGTAGGTGGCGCCATCACACCAAAAATCCGTCAGTCATTCGCCAGCCCCTCTAGCTGTTGACAATTAGAATTGCCAGCAGAATTGATGAGGGCTGGGCAGTTACCGATGAAAATGCGGGTAACCGGGCGCCTGATCTGCAAACGCTGCGTTGTCCTGACACACGTCCGGGACTGAGCTCACCCCGCCCACTATGTTTCATTTACAGCTCGGAATGTTCCAGCACCTCTTAATTCAAAGCCACCTGGAAGGCAGGCCCCCGAGTCCCCATCACAGACTTCACCAAACATGGGGATTCCTCCCAGTGATGATGGCATTTCAAAAGATGCCCTCAGCCCCTCAATACCACCTTCCTGCCCCGCCCCGTCCAAGAGGGAAACAGAATGCTATTCCCAGCAGGTTTACACCTGTCGGGTTCGACAGGTCTAAGGAAAGCACGATTTCAGAGGGGTGGGGCGACTCAGATGAAATAAACGCAGGTTCTCAGCATCTCCCATGAAAAAATGTGGAAAGGGCCCTGGCCGGTGTGGCTCAGCGGATAGAGCGTCGGCCGGCGGACCGGAGGGTCCCGGGTTCGATTCCGGTCAAGGGCACGTGCCTCGGTTGCTGGTTCCTCCCGGGCCCCGGCCCTGGTGAGGTCGCGTGCAGGAGGCAACCCATCGATGTGTTTCTCTCACATCGATGTTTCTCTCTGTCTCTCCCTCTTCCTTCTGCTCTCCCTAAAAATCAGTGGGAAAATATTTTTGGGGGAGGGTTAAAAAAAATGCCAAAAGCAAATCAAGACAAAAATCGAGGGCCAGCTCAGAACAGATATGCACGGGTTTCCTTACTTAGAAGGCACATCAGAATCCAAGACATAGATCAAAGGAAATGGCCTGAACCGGTGTGGCTCAGTGGATAGAGCGTCGGCCTGCGGACTGAAGGGTCCCGGGT